GCTCAGTGGAGCTGAGCCTGCCTCTCAAGCACAAGGTCCTAAGTTCGATCCCCGGTACCAAAAAAAATAATTTCAATCCTCCTGCCTCAGCTTCCCAGAGTGCTGTGCACCACACCTGGCCAGTTCTTAAACATATTGTCCTATCAATGGCAAAAATTAATCAGAATCTATAACTTCTTTCCAAACATAAGAAACCTTTTTGGTTTTTTTCTTTTTTGGTACCAGGAATCAAACTTAGGCCTTGCACTTTTGAGGCAGGCACAGTGCCACCCAGCTAACTCCCTGGCCCAGAACCTTTTAACATGTTTTTACTTCTTCCCTATTTTTCCCCAACAAGTACGTGCATGCAAAATATCTGCTCAGGGTTTTTTCAAGTAATCCAGAAGTCTCCACTTGTTATTAATTCTTCATGCTTCAAAATATACTTCTTTTATTTTAGAAATCTTAACACTTGCTTTAATCTATAATTATTTGTGTTACCGCCGTCTAGGAAAATTTAAACATTTGGTTCTTTAGCTATTTCCTTGGCTTACTGAAAATTTGTAATGAATTCTGTCTTGTGAGTGACGCTTCTCTGGTGCTTTTACTTCTCAAAAGAATACTTTGTGATCCATGCTGTTCTGATCCCCCATTGAACTTCGCTGGCACAGAGACATTTTGAAATATTTGCAAATGCCGAAGCCACTTCCTTCTGTTACCCTGAGTTTACTTTAGCTTGGTTAAACCAAGCAAGATATCAGTTTGTATAAACTTGCTACTAACAGAAGCTTCATATACTAGCTCTGCCCAGCGATCAGGGACTGGCTAAAGGAGTAGGAAAAAAAGCCTTTGGAAATTAGCTGCTGAATCTTTTACTCTAAAAAGCTTAAACGTTTTAAGGTTGGATACTTTTGTTTATAATACTTAATATTTAGGCGGGTGAAGTAAAATGAGCATTCTCACGCTGAAACTGTGAGAAACACTACGCATAGTGTTTGGGCTCAGTTTATCAAAAGCTTTTTAAAGTGTCCATGCCTTTCTTTGTTTTTTTGGTACTGGGGATCGAACTCGGGTCCTTGTGCTTCTGAGGCAGGTGACAGAACCACTGAGCTAAAGCCCCGGCCCAGGTGTCCATACCTTTTATCCCAATTCTACTTCTGGGAATAGACGTCCAAAGACATGTCTCCCGTGTGCAGTCTTCCCAGGTGATACAGAGTCACCCTGGGTGGGGCACTGCTGACTTTATGGAGAAGGTTGCTCCCTGTCAGTTCCTTCCAGTCCTCTGATGGAGGGACAGCGCACCCTGCCCTGCGTGCCCCTAACACCTCTCTAACCTGCCCCATCCCCTGCTGAACAGATAGCAGTATCTTAACTATGTTTTACACCTTTTGTTTTTTTCTAATTAATTGTATTTATTTTTATGATTGCCTTCATTTATGGCATAGGATGCAGGTTTTTTATTTGCAATAATAAGATTTGCTTTAAAATACTTTTATTTGATGGCAGAAATGAGTTGATTTAGAGAAATTTTAAGTATAGAAATATGGTATTTGATTATGGCAAAGTAGTAATAGCGATGCATGGATGTGGGAAGCACACCCCTAAGGAATTAATTAGAGCTACAGACACAGACTTATACCAGGGATGTTCTCATACATGTGAATGTTCCTCATGGGGTGATTTACGTGATCATAAAATTAGAAATTATCCAGTTGTCCAAATTATGGGATTAGTTAAATGATTTGGGTGCCTTCATTTGATAGACTACTGCCAAGTATGAAAAAGTATATTTAATAACATGAAAAATTATGCAGTATACTGTTGGCAAAACAACTGGGTGCAAAAGAGACTATACAGTATCCTGATTTTGTTAAAATTAAGTATGTATATTAATATATGCATGTTGTTTTAAAAATTCACACATATGTATATATATGTATATATATGTACATATAGTATATGACTCCAAAATCAGTTTAAGAAAATACTTCTAAATGGGTTAACAGAATGACTAGAACTACAGGAGATTTTTGTGTTTTCTGGTAATAGACATATGCCACTTTTGCCATTACAAAAAACAATATGTAGCCAGGGATTTAGCTCAATGGTTTCGCCACCTGCTGCGCAAGCGCAAGGACCTGAGTTCGATCTCCGGTACCAAAAAAACAAAACAAAACCAAACAAAAAACAATATGTACATATACCTATTTTTTAGTTAACTTGCTCCTGCCCCAAGAGGACTGCATAGTGCTGTTGTTTTGTTTTGTTTTTTGGTACTGGGGATCGAACTCAGGACCTTGAGCTTTCGAGGCAGGCACCGGAACCACTGAGCTAAATCCCCAGCCTGTATAGTGTTTGGCCATCTGCAAGTGCTACTGGGTCTCATCGTGCTCTTAGAAGCCAGTTAGGTTTGTGCGGCCGGCCACACAGCACAAGGGAACAATACCCTCAGACCCCCTTGTCGTCTCTCAGTACACTCCAAGGTGCTTGGTCTTGGGTGTATGTTTATACTTCTGGAGTGGAGTGGGGGAGTATTTCTAAAATCCCCTTAAATATTTTTATTGCTTTTTCTTCTCAATAGCCCCATTAGGCAGGACTAAATTAGGATCTCACTATTTTACTATGTGTATCATAAAGCAGGAATGGAGTAGATTCTGAGAGAAAGTTGCTTAATTTCTTATTTATTCTTCCTTTAATTTCTGCATTATCCTACTGACCATGAAATTTCAAGTTATATATAATTGTGGTTCTGCATTACCTGAATTAAAGATGTGTATATTTAAACTTGGCTACATTCTTTCCAGAATTTAAAAAAATTTGTCCCTGGAGAGGGCAGGGAAGAGGTCACTGTGAGGCCTAGTACTTGGCAGGAATACTTGCTACCTTTTGTCTAGTAAGAACTCCACCTGTTACTTCTTAGCGGGTTCCTGGTGACTTCTGGAATCTTTTGTGGGAATGGAGTGGCAGGTTTCTGCTGACTGAGAAGGTGAAGTGGTCTCAGGCTCTGGTGCGATGCTTCCTCCTTCAGTGAAGGTACTGGGGTCCAGCCCGTGAACTGCTCAAATCCTGATCCTAGAGGAGGTGCTGTGTTTTGCCTACTAACTCTTCCCATCCTGGGCCCTTCATCTCCACTCTTGCCCTCTCCACGACCGCTGTGTGCTGCCCGCTCTCACGTCTCCCACCTGGACAGTAGAAGTGACCTCCTCTCCCCTGCCCTACGGTCTGCTCTTTCACGTAAGTGCTACTCTGTAAAAAATAGCCTCCCACTGCTGCGGCAACAAATCACCATAAAGTCGGTGCTTAAAACCGCAAAAATTTATTATTTTACAGTTCCAGATGTCAGAAGTCTTAAAATTAAGGTTTTGACAGGGCTGTGTTCCTTCTGGAAACTCTGGAGGGAAATCATTTTGGTACCTTTTCCAGCTTCTAGGGGCCTCCTGCATTCCTTGGCTTATGGCCCCTTCCTCCGTCTTCAAAGCCAAGGAGGCTTTCTCACGCTGCACCATTCTGTCACTTCTGTGCTCTCACTCTTAGGACTTTTGTGGTTACGTCGGGCTAACTGGACAACCTGTCCATCTCCAGAGCCCGGACTCGGTCACATGTGCAGTGCCCCTTCTGCCAGGGACAGGTGCGTGTGCCCAGCCTCCACATCTTCGGCGGGCTGTTTTTCAGTCTACCACTTGACGCAGTCTGTTAAAAACACATATCCAGCCGCGCTCCTCCTCTGCTTGAGCCCCTGTGCCTGCTCTGGTTCACACAGGATAAGGCTCCACCGCTCCTGTGGCTGGGAGCGCCCTGCGCAGGTGCCCCTGCCCCACTCACCGTGTCGCGGTCTCTGCGCCTGGCCTGCTCTCTGTCAGGGCTGCTGCTGCTTCCCGCGCTCCAGCCCAGCCTCCCCCGGCCCCGGGGTGTTCTCGGAGGAATTCTGTGCCCTTCTGCTATTGCACAACCACAGCCTAACATCTTTGCATTTATTTGGGGGATTATGTGGTTAATATCCAATGCTCCTTTTGTGTAAATAGTCCATGCAATCAGGGACCATGGTTAATTGATTAATCAAATATTCCTCTTATGTAAGTATTCCATATGGGCCAGGACCATGTCTGTTTCTTGCCTATAGTCTCACAAGGCGCCTGGCATGCGGTTATGGTCAAGAAATGACACGGTTCATGAGTACTTGGAAACGAATAAATGAGTGAACATTAACAGCCTAACATCACTCACCACCCCCTTTACCCTGCTTTTTCTTCTGCTAAGCATTTATCATTTTGTTCGGTTGGTTTTTGGGGACTGGGACTCGAACTCAGGACCTCACAGATGCCAGGCAGGCGCTGTACCGCTGAGCCACATCCCCAGCCCCTATCTTTTTTTACTGTTACTTCCCTCGACTCCCATGAAATCTCCCTGAGAGCAGAGACTTTGCCTTGTTTGTGCGTAGCTCTTTTCCCGGGTCCCAGGGCAGTGTCTAGTCAACAGTGAGCACCCAGTAACTATTTGGGGGATGATCTGCAGGTGCTAAGAATCTCCCACCTTTTTCATTTTTGGCCCCTGTTTGAAATCAGGTGTTATTGAATTCTTCATTTTAATTCTTTAACCCAGTTCAGCAACCAGGCACATTGGCAGAGACCAGTCACCCATTGCTGTGAGGCTTAAATAAGTTAATAAATGTAAATCATTTAGAGCAGCGTCTGACAACTACAGCCCTGTCTGAGAGTTTAGTGCTATTAAGAAATCCTTGAATCCAGGCCATGCAAGTGGTCCAGTCCTTGCCTAGCACGCTCAAAGCCCAGTGTTGAATCCTCAGCACCCCAAACCTGGCTGTTTTAGCTTCTGGCTGACTGCGCTGTCGGGGTGAAGTGGCAGCACAGACTGGAGGTGGCTCAGCAGCCTGTGACCTGGGTCCGTGCTCCCTCCCGTTCTTGCTGCAGGGCTGGACCCAGACCTTCAGCTGCCTGGGATAGGCGGGGACTGTAGCGGTGATTTTGTCCATTGCTGATGAGTTTTTCCTGTTTCGCCTGCAGGTGGCAGCACGCGCTGGCCCACCCTGCCCGGTGCTGAGGCCCGACCCAGAGACCGGAAAATGGACCCCCTTCTCCTGGGCGGGCTGCACTGCCCGCCCCCAGCCGGGTGATTGTGAGCGAGACTGGAGTTTCTCTCTTACGCCTTCCACATTGTTTGTTTTTTAGTACAGGGAAGGCATAAATCATGCATACGATTTTAAGATTGTCTGTGGATTTTCTGGAGTTTTGTTTTGTTTTTTAACAAAACCCACTCCACAGCGGGAAGGCAGAACTATTCCTAGAAGGATGCAGAAGGGAAGAGGGATGCGGGGCTTACCCCCTGCGCTATCACTGCGGCTTCCCTTCCTGGCAGCGCCCTGGGCCTTCACCTTGGCCTTGGGGTGGCCGGAGGGGCTGCCCAGCCCAGGCAGTTCCCTGGTGTAAGCTGGCGGGTGTGGGGCGCTCTGTGCAGGGGCGTTGTGCTCCTCCCAGTTGTTCTCGGGGCTGACCGTTCACGGAGCGCCCAGCCCTCCTGGCCCAGCGTGTCTCCGAGGGTCTGTCTGCCAGTGCAGACCATACAGCCCCTTGACGGACGTTCCCCTCTGATCCTCTTCTCCCGAACCTACTCAAGTCACGGTTACAGCTTACTCACCCTAAAACTCCAATTTGTGCAGCGGTTGTAGCATTTGAATAGGGATTGTTCATGCTCTACTTCAAGTCCGTTTCTTTGCTTTGCGCTCAGTAGAAAATAACTCTTAAGTATATTGGGAAATAAGGGTACCTTTTCCCCTTTGTGCCAAAGGCGACTACACCCTTTTTGGTTGTACTGAGGCATCCAGCAAAGACCTTCCCTGAATTCCAGCAGCTGCTGGGTCTGGCAATGACTTTCCCTTCGTTGCAACCCCTGTAAGGCCCCTCCTGACAAGGATCCTGTTGATATAGGGGAATAGATGCAACTCTCAAATCTGCTAGATATCCAAATTCGTGTTTTCTAAAATCGAAGAATGAATTCTAGGAACAGCGGAGGTTAAGAGTAGGAAAAATTTATGGAGAGAAAGATAGCTTCTGTCTAAGAGAGACAGAAGGGGAACTGGAAAATGGATTGCCTACCCACCCTGCTTTTCAAAGGTATTTTATACAGCAAAGCCATGAGATGAGGCGGCTACAAAGTGGGACAAAACTATAAGACTCAATGGAAAATCACAAGGTGGGCATGAGGTGGAACAAAACCATGACCAATCAGTAAGATTACAAGTACCCAGGTAACATTGATTAAATGGGAAAACAAGTCCCATACAAGGAATTTCCCATTTAGACTATCAATCACTGTGATCCATCTCTAGGGGAAGTAATACTTCTTTTTTGTTGTTGTTGTTTTTTGGTACCGGAATCGCACTCTGGAGCTTGTGCTTGCCAACCAGGCAGAGGAACCATTGAGCTAAATCCCCAGCCCCTTTTCTTTTTTATAATGCTAACCACTGAGTGTGCCTCAGTTGTTCTCCATGTTGGCTCCTGGAGGGCTGGCGCCTTGAGGGCGGCCCTGTCTAACTGACTGCAGGATATCTAATTAACTTACCATCTGCAATACTGTGACATCGTCCCCTGGTTCATGACACTTTTTTTTTCAGGAAACATCAAGATTCCTTGTTCATTGTCCCAACCTGTGCCAGCTTTGCCCCTGCACTGGTTGTATTTTGGGCTCACTACATGAAATCATGAACATATACAACTGGAATATTAGATGATGGTGTCTCCAAACCCCAGGTCTCAGTGAGAGTTCATTATGCTCTGAAGAAGGCAATATTTTACAAATCAAATTTGTCTTTAAGTGTTTTTTTCCAAAATTATTAGTTTTAAATATATTTCAAATTTGTGTATTTCATTTAAAATTGAGTCCTTTTATAGCTCTTAAAACTGTGCTTTTATTTTTCACCTGTGGGTATAGGTTCATTCTCTAGTATAGTCAACAACCTGGTAAGAGAAACAAGCTAGGTACTAAGCTAGGGATGTAGGTTGGCAATGGGATGCCTACTTTGGATGCACAAGACCTGGGTTCAGTCCCCATGGAAGGAGAGAGAGACAGAGAGAGAGAGAGAGACAGACTAACACCAAGTGCCTGCCATGGATCAGGCACCTGACTCACAAGATATGGAGAAATGAGTGACATCATTCCTTTATTACAAATACAGAAGCCAAGGGCCAGGGATTTAGCTCAGTGGTTTCACCACTTGCTGCGCAAGTGCAATGACCTGAGTTCGATCCTCGGTACCAAAAAAAAAAATCAGAAGAAGGACAAATACAGAAGCCAAGGCCCAGAGATTAAATTACTTACAGAGCTGAAATGTACAGAGCAAGCCGTGATAGCCTCCCAAGGTCTCTGTCTCTCTTGCCTTTTATCAGAAAGTGAGCTTGGCCACTGATAGGTAGAAGATGAATCACGTTCATTCTTGTACTGACCTGAAAAAAACAGTGAAGTGAAATGAATGAGAAACGTAATCTTCAAACAACCTTTGTCTCTAAATTTCCTATCTTAATTTAATATAGTACTATATATATATATATATATATATATTTTTTTTTTTTTTTTTTGGACACTAGGTCCTGCTATGTAGTTCAGGCTGGTCTTGAACTCACTGTGTAGCCCAGGCTGGCCTTGAGCTCCTGGTGATTCTCCTGCCTCAGCCTCCCAAGTGCTGGGATTACAGGTGTGCGCCACCACCACAGCAGTACTATTTTTCTTGCCTATTTCATTTAACTTGAATTGTTGGCACATACTGGTAAAATTTGCACACTCATTAAAGTTTTACCAGCTAAGGGTTAAGGGTATAGCTCGGTCAAACAGTGCATCCTGAGCCTGCATGAGGTCCTGGGTTTGATTCCCAGCATCAAAATTTTAAAGATTTTTTTTTTTTTGCCTGTTGATGCAACATTGATTGACTGTTATGCATTTGAAGGTCTTGTAATCTCCATAAGTTGAAAAAGTTTGATTTAAAAAACTTGAAGCTTGGGGCCAGGGATTTAGTTCAGTGGTTCTGCTGCCTGCCCTGCAAGCTCGAGGACCCGAGTTCGATCCCTGGTACAAAAAAAAAAACACCTGAAGCTTGGGCCAGGGATTTAGCTCAGTGGTTCTGGTGCCTGCCTCACAAGCACAAGGTCCTAAGTTTGATCCCCGGTACAAAAAAAAAACAAACCTGAAGCTGGGCTGGGGATTTAGCTCAGTGGGACTGCGCCTGCTTTGTAAGCCCAAGGTCCTGAGTTTGATCCCGAGTACCAAAAAAACCTGAAGTCTTTCTCTGCACCCAGGAGGTTTGGTGACATGTTTGAGGACACGCGGCAATGAACACTAAACTCATAAAACCATGACTCTGTCTCAGCCTACTTAGAGTAACTGATGCAAAACAGAAATGTCCTCAACCTCTCTCTAAATGGCTATCAAAACCAGTGATTTTAAAAACCAGGTCACTCATACCTTAAGTGCCTACTGATAGCCGAATGAATATTACGGCTAGACTGTGGTTAGTGAAAACAAAGCTACCTTTTATACATGAAGCACTCCTTTTCGGCATGTCTTTGGCCACTCAGGACAAGTGACCTCAAGGACATGTTAACTGTGGGTAGTTCAGATTGGTGTATTGAGGCAAGTTACTCTAACCACTATCTTGTGATATGAGAGTATTTTTTTCTTGTCCTTTTATAACAACTTTATTGTAATACAATTTTCATACTGTGCGACTCATCCATTTAAGATGTACAATGCATTTGTTTTTTAGTGTATTCTTGGAGTTATGTATCCATCACCTGAGCCAATTTTAGAACATTTTCAATATCCTCAAAAGAACCCTGATAGCCCTAGGTCACCCCCTTCCCCACCTTTTCTAGCCTCTGGCAGCTATGATTCTGCTTTCTGTCTCCATATATTTGCGTATTCTGGATATCATATAAATAGAATCACCCAACATGGAGTCTTCTGTGGCTGATCCCTTTCACTTATCATAATGTTTTAAAGATTCATCCATGTTGTAGTATGTATCAGTATTTCTTTTTCTTTTCTTTTTTTTTGGTACCAGGGATCAAACTCGGGTCCTTGCGCTTGCGCAGCAGGTGGCAAAACCACTGAGCTAAATCCCCAGCAGAGTTTCTTTTTATTTGACAGGATATGAATATATCCTGTTTTATTTAATCATTCACCATTTGATGGACACTGAGTTGTTACCATGTTTTGTCTATTATGAATAATGCTATGAACACTTTTATGTAGACTATGATTATGTTTTGCAACTCTGCCTTGTAGGCTATAGTGGACAACTCTTGTTTTTAAATGTCTAAGAGAGAGGGCCGGGGATTTAGCTCAGTGGTTCTGCCGCCTGCCTCACAAGCGGAAGGACCCAAGTTCAATCCCCGGTACCAAAGAAAAAAAAGTCTAAGAGAGCGAGAGAACTAGGTTAAGGTTATTTAAATTTTAAGGAATAATTTATTTGTGTAGAGGTAGAATTGCATTCAAAAGGATTAACTAAGAGGAGACTGGGGTATAGCTCAGTGGTAGAGCACTTGCCTAGCATGCACAAGTTTCATACCCAGAACTGCACTAAAGAAATCTTAAACCGAGTAATATATTGAGGTTAAAAATTTAAAGGTATGAAGATCTAACTCTTTTTCATGTTAATTGAGTTTTCAAAGTTGTCTTTTAATACTCTAGTTTAAAAGAAGAAAATACAAACAAGAAACAAAAGTTTGTTCTTGAGGTATCCTGTGAAAGAATGTGGAGTTGGATTGGGTGGGGACTGACTGCAGGACTCGCCGCCCCTCCTGCCCCGCTGTATCTGATGGGGGGCGGGGGAGGGGGTGCTCCGAGGAGCTGCCATCTGTTGTTGGTTTAGGGCTGCATCCATGTGGCCACACAGGCTCTGGCCCGCTGCTTGCTGTTGGGGTGAAGTGGTTCATAGCTCTGTGCCTCCATATCCAGTTTCACTCTGCTTCTGACTTTAAAAAGTTCTAATATTGGGCTGTTGCTTTTTAGTAAAACCAGGTGCTATGAGACATGTGTTGAAAGACAAATCATCCCTCAAAGAGACTTTGATAAACATAGTCCTAAAAACATTTCCGGGCTTTTTTTTTTTTAAGTACCAGTTAACAGTTTTCAGTTTAACTGTGTTTTCCTTCCTGAAATCTTTAAGTGAGACTAATTCTTGTGATTTATTTCTATACATTGTTTTTAGGGAGTTTCTCTACTTGTCAAGTCTAGGTTAGAGATAGAAATGATTTTTTCCCCCACATAGACCAAGCGTGAAGAAATGGGAGCGACTTGAGTGTGATCACACCTCATATTTGTCTCCAATTTAATTTGTGTCTTTCCTTTCCTTGGGAAATAGAGGAAGTTTGAAAAGCATTATTAGCCAAATTCTAACTTATAATTTCAGATGAGTCATTCATCAGGAATTTATATACATCTTTATGTATTTGTATTTTTTAGAGCTCCAGTCATCAAACCTAGCATCTTGTGCATGCTAGCCAAGGTCTCTACACTAAGCTACATACCCAGCCCTTATATTAATTTTTTTTTTTTTTTTTTGGTACTGGGGATCGAACTCGGGACCTTGTGCTTTCAAGGTAGGCGGCAGCAACACTAAGCTAAACCCCCAGCCTGCTCATATTAATTTTTAAATGCCTGGTAGGTATAGACATTTTAAGAACAGGACAGTTGTCCCCAAGGATTCTGTGTTCCAGGAACTTTGTTCTGCCTGTTAGGGCCACAAAATACCTGCATCACTGGTTGCCCAGAAAAGCCCGAGTCAGAGGAGACTTGAGAGACCTGCCCCTGGGGCTTTAGTAAATTCACAGGGGAGGAAAGAAGACTGGTGGCTGTCCCAGAAGCACAAGAGCAGAGAGTGTATAGGGGAGGAAGGCATCCAGAGGGAGTGCGCTGGGGAGGTTGGTTGGATATAAACCCATGAGTTTGAATTTGATATTTTTTTAAAGGAAGTAATGGACTTTCAAACAGGGGTCAGCATACTATTAAAATAGAAACTTTTTTCTCCACTGTGTACCTGAGAAAAGCAGTATGTTCTTTTCAAATAATTCTCCAAGGCCACACAGCTGGTGGGAGTGGGGGCTGCCACACCCTAGTCTGCGCACAAGCTGGCGGCATTAGGCATTATGCGTTATCTACAGACCGCTGGGCTGGGCTCCACCCAGCTCTCGCCTTGTGTGACCCCTGTGTCCCGCTTGGCTGCATTTGCCTGTCAGTGTCACTCCCTGGGCTCAACTGTTATTAGGTGAAAGGGACTTTGAGCAGGGCTCTTCCCGGCCCATCAAGGCTCTAGGAAAGCAGGAGGGGCTGGGTTAAGGTGGAGGTTTGTTCCCCTGCTCCACACACACTCTTGGCTGGGTGGCTGACTGGCCTCTACAGTTCCAGCCCTCCCAGAGAGCCGTCCCTTCTCCGGCTACACTAACCATCACTAATCAGTTCTGTTGTCTGCAGCCCTGAACCTGCCCAGCCTCAGGGAAGAGGGAGGGCTAGCTATAGAATTAAATACTGACCACCGACTCTAGTGAATCAGATCTTTCAGATGAGAAAAGATCTGCTAGGCTCTTCTAAAATATTTTAATTTTGGTTAGAGACTCAACCTTGAGCCCAGAAAGGGGCCTTTCATCATCATCATCATCACCATGCCTTTCCCTAGAAGCCGAGTCTGGGACTCTTGTCTCCTCTGCTGTAGCTGAGGGACCTAAGCTGTTACCACTTGCTTGTGACCCTTCTGCTACCACGTGTATAATGTGGTTAGTTACATTATTCCTGCCAGAAGGGAGCGAGGAAGGAAGAAAAATATGACTTAGGGAGGGTCTTTTCCATCTTGGAGGCCTCTGATTCTGTGAATAAATTCCACTGACTACTAAGAGGATTAGGAATATTCCTTGAGTTGTCCAGAGGGCTGTGACTTATATTTGCTTTATGCAAGCCCTCTTCTTTTTTTTTGCTTTCAAAACACTTTTACATCTGCCCTTGATGTTTATAAAATGACTCTGCATGTCTGGTTAGGAGCATGGAAAAACAGACGTGGTGCTGACAGCCAGGTCCACCTCTGCTAACTGTGACCTTGGGTTTGTTCCCGAACTGACCCATTCCGTAGTGTCCTCATCTGAAAACGGGAATGAACAGAGCACTTCCTGCAGCGGCCACTCTGAGGGTAGCCCTGACAGTGCACTCAGCACAGCATGCGGCCGAGTCAGACCTCTCAGAGTGGCAGGGATGATGTCCATGGTGCGAAGTGATCCCACTCTATAGGGAGGAAAGCCTAGCCCACGAGGGTCACAGGGAGACACAGAGGGATCCAGGATTCACTGAGAAACAAACATCAATACTGACAGTTGTGTCTGTGTCTAGTCTTTTAGTGGCTGCCTAGCTTTTGTGGGGAATTGGGTGACAGATCCCTCAGCACAGGACCCTCAGCCCTAGAAACTAACAGGGTTCCTCTCCCCTGCCCCTGCCTGAGATCCTGTGGGCCTCCCTGGGCCTTCAGAGGGACCTCTAGGAGCCTGGAGTGGGGAGGGGCCTGGCCGAGGAGAAGGCCGCCCCTCCAGCCTGGCCCCAGGCAAGGCTCCCTAAATATTTGGTCCCATAGGGTTGTTTGCAAAGAAAAATTGACTTTTGCCCTGGGGGCAAGGACATCAGACACTGGTCTCCAGCTATCCTGGTCACCCTGTGGTCTGAAGATTGTCCCCACTGGCCTTAGATACAGAGTGGTGGCACTTGCCCCTGACAGTATATTTAAGGACTACCCAGTGGGTTTTCCAGGAAACTGTAACACTTTGCATTTGGTCTTAGGCAATGTAGCACAAGGGAGAAGTCCACACATAGTCAAGCCTGGATTTGAAACCCACCTCTGCCCTTGCGTATATGTGGGTGGGTAAGTGGGGGTGTGCTTGGGAAATTATTCAGCCTCTTAACTCTCAGTTTCTGCTACTGTAAAAGGAAAGCAAGAATACCTAGCTCATAGATTTGCAGTACGGATAAAGTAAAATAACCTGAGCAGAGTGCACAGTACAGGCAGGTCTGTGTTAGCTATTTTTATCACCCCCATTATTATTAGGCATGTGTCAGGGGGCTCTAGAAGTCTGTGGGTGGAAACAGTTTGCCTGTGTGGCCCAGTTTCCGGAAGCTGGCCATTTGTGGCTCCTCGGGATGCTAGAACACTGAAGCAAAGAGCTCGAAGGTTTCTTCGCTACATTGCTTGCAGTGATGCTTTGTTACTCAGTGGATAATTAAGTCTGCTAAAGGGCAGTGCCGTACTGTTCCTTGCCCCTGCTTCTCTTCTATTTAGTTCAGTGTTCTTGCAAGGAAAAATAGTTCTGAGGCTAAAATATATTGAAAGTTTACTATATTGAGACTTTTACATAAATTATCCTCTTTATTTCACATAACATCCAGATGAAGAAACAGGGAGGTTCGATAATGCCGGAGACTACACTGCTGTCCTGCAGCAGCACTGAGTTTCACACGCCCCACTCCAAGCATGGCAGTGAGCATGTACAGGTGAATGGGTGACCTGGTGACCTGCTCTGTCCTCCACACCCCTGGCTAGGCTGAGGGCAAAATCTGTCTTACCTTAAAAGCATTCCAAAGAAGACTGCTGGTTCCTGCTTGGTAGTCACCTGAGGGTCTGGAGGGACATAGCTTCTTCCTTTTGTCCCTTTGCAGTGTCCCTTTGAAGCCAGCTGTCCAACCTCAAGAGTTAGGAGATCCATTTTGAGGATGTGCTCAGTCCCCCAGTGGGAATCTGGAAACGCAGACCGTGAGGGTGATGTCTCAGCAGCATGGGGCACAGGGCCTGGTGCCATGCTGGTCTGGTCTGTGGTGTCCCCTGCGAGTGGTAGCCAGGCCAGGTTCCTGCTGCCCTGCAGCTGGTTGCCTGACTGCAGCTGGTTCCTGCCACCCAGGTCTGCATCCATCTGGCTGTGGGGAGCAGAGGAAGTGGTGTGTGGGCCAGTGGGGTCACTGACGAACTGAGTGACTAGCTGTGTTCAGCCTGGCTTGATGACTGGCGTGATGGGAGAGGTGGATCTGCTTACCTAGGACCCCTGAAGCCTGAGAACTAACATACCCCAGGACTTCCTTTACTCAATAAGTATTTATTGACCACCTACTGTGTGCCTGCAGAGGCCATGTTAGAGACCCCAGCACCTAACTTGGCACTGGACCTAGATTCCAGGTAGCCATTGGCCACTAGGGAGCCCCAGTGCTCTCAGAAGGATCTGAGGCTGGCAGAGGAGCCAGCGTGGCTGTGCTGTTTATCTGAGCAGCTTCCATGACAACCAGATGATAAATACCTGAGATTAAGCAAAGCCCGGAACAAGATTAGTGTCTGGCCAGGGTGGGCCCTGTGCAGTGATTCAGAGACCCTTGACTGACCTGTGTTTTCTGGGTGGCTCCTCCAGGTGCTTAATTAGTTTGTTAACTATTTAATTTGTCCCTGTCCCACTCCAGAAAGTATTCAGAGTAGCTCCATTCAGTAATTGCTTTGGAGGGAAGAATCATCCTGAGCTTTCTCTGAGTGAAATGTTGGGTTTATTTGGGTCCCTGGGGAGTCATTTACAAGCTGCCCGCTCAGCTCCCAGCTCAGCTCCCTGCTCCCAGAACTGGCTCCCACTGAAAATATTTTTTTTCTGCTAAAGTTGGTTTGCAGCATTTCTGTGATTACCTCCTGGTCTCTTTGCAACAAGTGGCCCCAACACCTTCCTGCCTTGAAGCAAATCATATGACTTAAAAGAAGTAAACCTGACCTCAATTACAAGGTGCAAACATCAGTCACTGGGAGTAACCAGGAGGCCTGTGGTCTAGTTCTTTTAGCCTCTGGCATTAACCATTAAGAGTGCATGGTTCACATGTGATAAGGTTGTCTTACATTTTATGATTTCCAGCAACAAGAAGACTTTAAGGAAAGGCCAAGGGCAGGTGAAAAACCCCAGACCTGGCCCTTGGCCAGCTGGCAGAGCAGTTTCTGCAGCGCAGCAAGGACAGCTCCTAGAGATTATCCTTGTTCTCAAGCACCCTAGAGAGCCACCCTGCTTGCATGGGTGCAGGAGGTGGGGCTAGTTCCTGCTCCCAGTTAGGCGGTTACCAGCAATCTCAGGGTGGGGAGGTGAGAAAAGGAAGTCAGTCCTCCATGTATGGCCCTGCACCTGCCTGCTGCTGGCTACCAGGCCAGCTCTGAGCTCCGGCACATTTCTCTGTCACTCTGGGCTGGGCAATGGGCAGCTCAAGCTGCTCTCACTGGAAGCTGGACGAGCATTCCTGCAGCATGTGGAGCTTGCACACACATGCAGAATATGGGCTGGGGTTCCTCTGCATCTGGCCTTCGTGCAGAAGCCCAGGCCATGAAGCTACAAGCAGGCAGCGTAGCCCACCTTGGCCTAGGAAGGGAACTGAGTCATCACACAGGCACACACACACACACACACACACACACACACCACCCTTCACACCATGAGGGAGGCAGATCTGTAGCCCCACCACATATCTGTAGGGCACCTAAACTGGCAGCAAAGATAGGCGACATACATCAAATTAAATCTCCCTGTAAGAGCAGTAGCATGGATTAATTTGACAAATATTTCATGAATATTCTGCTACATATCTCACACTGTTCTACATGCTGGGCACACAGTGGTGACAAACAAGGTCCTTGCTCAAATGGAGCTACATCCTAGTGGTGGAAAGAGGAAACAAACACAGAAATAAACTGTTAGTGTTAGCAGTAAGTGCTGTCTAGCAATTAAAACACTCTCATGTGTAATCAAATGACTGCTTTGGACTAGGTGGTCAGGGATAGGCTAGGAGGAAGTGGCATTTAAGGGGACACCTGGAAGAGAAAGGGAATGGGGAAAGGCCAGGTGTCTCCTTGGGGCCCAGGAAGAGAGTTCTAAGACATATAGTTTGGTTAGCTTCTTCTCCTGTTTTCTAAATTATGCCCTAATTATTCATTCAGTAACCCTTTACTGGGAATCCTTGGTGTGCCAGCCAGGATAAATGTGTCAGGGTTCCTTCTCAAGGGGCCTTTGGTGTATTGGGAAAGTTACCCACAAAACCAAGGCAGTGTGATAAGAACTATGGCCAAGAGGATCACAGAGGCTAAGGAGAGTGAAGAGGGCATCAGGGAAGGAGCTGCTGTCTGACGAGGGCCCCAGAGGAGATGACACAGTCTGGTCCTGAAGAGTGAGGTGAGGATAGCCAGGAGAAGAGAGTATATTCCAGGCAGAAAGAGGAGCCTGTGCAAAGGCCTGGGGCCAGGGCGAGAATATGAGAAGGATGTTGGAGGGTCTTGGAGGTGAGCAGCTGCTGGGACTAGTCATGAAAGACCTTGAATGCTCTGGAGCCTTAACTGGGCACTCGAGAATAGCTTCTGGACTCATACTCCTAAGGGACCAAGGGAGCAGCTCAGTGAAGGCTTTGCAAACAGAGCTATGTGTATGGGACACTGCCCAGAGCACCCTCCAGGGAGCCGCCCTGTGGGAGGACCACCTCATCGACTTCCAGAACAGGATGGAAGGTGGGTCTTCACTGGGCATACAGATGGGACTGTGCCAGTATCTGAGCGTCCCGGTGAACATTTGACTACTTGGTTCTTTGGGACTTTGGGAATCTGAGTTAAAAGTCATCGATCCGGGAAATAAATACCAAGTTTTGCATTTACTGCAAGATACTCTTTGAAAAATCCCTTTCTGGCAAGTCTTACCCAGGTGTAAAATTCTAAAGGAGCTATTATTACATCCCAATAAATGTATAATTTGATTTTAAAATAAAATAATCCTGTGTTCATTCCAGCGTCCTGGAAACATACAGTTTTCTCCCATCCTTTTACCCACTCCCCTTCTGTTGTTTCCCTCTCTCATCTCTAGACCTCAGTCTCTGGTTATCTTTTTTATACATGCATTACTCCTTTAAAAGCCTCCAAAATAGATCACAACACCTGATTCCTTTAAGTCACCTTAGCCATTCGTGGTCTGTTGAAAACCAGTAAGAGTATTAAAAAAAAAGCAGTAAGACAGAGTCCAGAGTCCAAAATAAAGGTTCGTGTGCAGAGAACTTACTGTGTTCCCCACACCATGCTAAGCTCATCACATTCTCTTCCTTATCTTCCATTTGCCCGTGAAGATCCACTCCCGCCCTCCACATCGCCCTTGCCTCTGGCTTCTGGTCAGAATGGGGGAGCTCCAGCAAGAAGTGGAAGGGCACCGTAAGATGAGGCCAAGAGTTTATTCCCCAGGCCTCCGTCTGGTCACCGTAGGCCCCCTGCATCCTCCCCCCACTGACGCCCAGAGCTCCTGGCAGATGCCAATTCCAGCAGCCCCCTCTCTGGGTCCCCTCACAAGCTGCAGTGGGTAGCGGTTCCCCACTATGGCTAGCTCCAGAGTGCTTCCCAGCTCTTCCTGGTTGCCCTCTGCCCTGCCCATACCTTTGTGAATAGGTGGATCCCATCCGTTGCCCACCCAACCTGGCTGCATGGTATCTTTAGGGATAAATACTCTTCTTATCCCCATTTTAAGAGAAGGAAACCAAGCCCCAGTGAAATTTAATAACTTGTGTACTGGTAGAGACAGCTGGTAAATAGTAGAGCTAGGTCTGAAATCCAGGTGCTCCTGATTCTGAAGCACAGGCATGTTTCCTGATTTGCATATTGCTTCCCATACACTAAAGACCACCTCCCCGGTCTCTATGAAGAGAGAATAAATATCATTTATTCTGATATTTTGTTTCCCAATCCATACCCATTAAAAAGTACAAATAAACAAACAAAAAGTACAAACATCAGAGCCAGGGATTTAGCTCAGTGGTGCCGCCACCTGCCTCGAAAGCACAAGGTCCTGAGTTGAATGCCCGGTACCAAAAAAAAAAAAAAAAAAGTACAAACTTTAAGCTGGGTGCAGCGGTGCTAGCCTGTGATCCCAGCTACTCAGGAGACTAAGGCAGGACAATCCTGAGTTCAAAGCCAGCCTGGGCAACTTAGTGAGAACCTGTCTCAAAACAGAATAATAAAAAGGGTCAGGGATGTAGTTCAGGAGTAGGGTGCTTGCCTAGCATGCATGAGGCCATGGTTTCAATCTCCAGTACTTAAAAAAGTGCAGACATTAGAAGTGAGCACTGAAGCTAAGCTTCCACATAAATAATGAGAAGTGACTGGGATGGTCCAAGGTGGAGAAAGGGCACAGCTCCTGTTACCCTGGGCCATGAACTTGAGACGTCTTGGTGCCCTCCGCTCTTCTCTGTGCCTTCCGAAGTGTTCAGCTTTGAGGTCATCGGTGGGGGCTGAAGGAAAGTCCTGCATTTGCCAGAACAGGTTGCCCAATGCTGCCTCCCACTCCCAACACCAGTTCTTCATTTGGTGCCCAGTGTTCATGCTTAGTTTCCATAACCCAGGCACGGGACAGAGGTACTTTTCTTTTTTAAGTTCTGAAACTGCTGATTCAGTTTGCATGAGACTGTTACCTTGTAGAAGGAACTTTCAAAAACACCTAAAATTTAATTCTAGTTGTACTTTAGAGAATCTCTGGATGCAGAATTTTCTCCACTTTCCAGCATTTTTAGTCTGACATACTTGGGGTTGGGTGGAGACTGGGGACAATGGCCAAGAAGTCCCAGTGGGCCAGAGGGCCTGGTGACCAGAACTTCTCCCGAGCATGTGTCCAGGCCTTGTCCTGACTGTCTTCAGAGCTGTCTTGCCAGCCCTTTAAGGGCTCTGCTGGGAAAGACCATAAAAAGTCTGCTTTACATAGATTTATTTGTCTGTTAGGCAGGTCAACCCTTTTAAAAATCTTTTACGTTTGTGTCTCTTTTGATGATTTTGTTCCCATATATATTAGAAACTGCTCATTACATTCCAGTATCCGTTCCCTTACTCTTTCTTAGTAGTGAGTCCAATTTTCAGCCAACCCCTTTGCTACCAGTTTCCCAGGGAA